CAGCGTCAGCGCCGCCAGCCGGCAGCTGCGGCCGTCCCGCCGCCACCCATCAACTGGCAGGAGTGGTGCAGCTGCATCCCGTCAGGGCAAAAGAACGGAGATCAACTCCTTTCGGTGAGACTAAGTCACGTTTCCCATCGCCACTGCTAATTTCCACACGACCTCGTGTAAATATAGCATCGCCCTACATTTCAGGAGCTCCTCAGCCACACCCGGCGCCAGACAGGGCTGGTGCCAGTAGCCGTGCAACGAAAGTCGGGACCGAAAGTTGGGGACAACGGGTGGCTCATCGTTCTACTAGCGTTGACAGCACAGCCGAACCACCACCCAGGCAGCAGGAAGAGGGCATGGTAAGAGGCAGTGGTACGTGTTAATAGTCCTCTACTTTGGGTCCATGTCGGGTCTTTTTAGCTTTATTCTGCCTTCACATACGAACTAATTTGCTAGTTATTCCCCCCTTTGCTGGTACCCTGTTGCAACCAATCTCAATAGAGTATTGGTCTAGAGCGCTGAGCGGAAGCAGAAGAACAAAAACGGAAGGTGGAAAGGCGCCCGCGCCGTCCCCCTCTCCTCCACTGGGCGGAGTGGGGGAGGGCAGGCGGGGAGGAGTGCGGGCGCCTTTCCATCTTCCGTTTTTGTTCTTCTACTTCCGCTCAGCGCTCTAGACCAATACCCTATATCGCCCCATTCCCACTCTTTGTCCCACAGAGGCTTTGCAGTGCCTTCAACGGCTGTTGGCACGGGTTCAGGAACAACCGCTCCAGGAGGGAGCTGGACACCCTGGAGGCGTGCACCATCCAAGCGGCGCCCATCGCCAACGGCCGGTGCCGGTTGGCGTTCAACCGCAGGACCACAAAGGACCACCCTGGCTGGCGCCTGCAGCTGGGACCAGGGCAGCAGTGGTATTGGACAATATTTATGGAAACAACCTGCGGCCCCTGTCTTGGTTTTTAATTGGTCCTAACACACCAGCTTTTATCGTTTTTAAAAGCCGTTCGTGCCGGCCCTGCTCTGCCCTTGTGACTTCCACACGTACTCCGGTACGTGTGGTTAAGTTTTAGTTTAGGTTAAACTGATTTGCATCTCAAGTGATGTCAATCATAGTATTATTTAGTTGCATCCCAAGGTATATCATTCCTAATTTTGTATTTAATGGTTCAGTGCCA